CATAACCGAAACCAGTGACAGAACTTACTCATCCCATTGAGACTGCTTGCTGTACACTAGCAAGTAGCGCACTTTCACGAGATCACTGTTGAGGGCAACATAGTACTTCTTCGGCACTTCACCCCCTATACTGTCTGTGGCTATGGATCGGGACTTATCTGACTCTGAAACAAAATAAGGATGTAGCATGGCTGAATAGAGAATGCGTGGTCTTCTGTCTGATGCAAATAATTATTTGGCTGGCCAAAGTAAAATTTATTTTCGTCATGAGACTGAAAGGATCGTAAACTGTTGAATCCAGTTCACAGTTCCTCTGATTTAATATCGTTCTCATATTTACTCTATGTCTCCCAAAACTTTTCTTCCATTTGGGTTTATAAACCAAAATTTTGTATGCATTTCTCATTTCCTCCTTTCAAGTGATTTGATCACTATAACAACACTATGTGAAGAGCACAAATTATGAAGGTCCTCAGGATGTAATTTTCTCCTTGATCCAATCCCCATTTCTGAATAAGACACAAAGTCCCAGACCCATATAAAGGAATGGGTTGAATTATAAGGCACGGAAAGACCATTCTCAGTCACAGTAAGAGAACTTACAAAATTATCGTGGTTTCTCACCTTTATCCTGACATTTGACATCTGGGTGGTTGACAACCTCACAGAGGGCCACACAGCTCATTTCGCTGCCAACATTGCTCCGCCCCCAGCCATATCCCATGGGACTATATGGCAGGCTCACACTCAGTTCACTGGAGAGGTAAATTCCGTGACCAAACAACGAATTCTGCACATAAATTTGAAATAAGATGCTGTGAGGAAACAGGACAGCTTGGCTTACCACTAACGGTGTGTCAACCGCCCTGGACTCTGTTCACACCCATACAAACAGAACAGGCAAAATTACAAGAGAAAAGTGCACTTGAAACATGCTGAGCACTGAGTAGCCCAAGCCGCTAGGAACAATGTTTTGGTCGAGACAAACGAGGCGTGCTGACCTTGTTCAGATGCTGTTGCAGGCCGTAGTGCAGAATGGAGTGGAAGTTGTCAAGGCGACTGCCATGAAATGCGTACAGGGTCTTGTGTCCTCCGGAAACCTCCTGCCACCGCATCTCGCTGGTGCCACGAGGGTTACCGACCAGTTGGAAGATGAGGTTTGGTGCGGGGGCTGCCGTCTCGCAGCGCACGTACTCCATAATTTTGTCAAACTACACACACAAACATTTTATGCAATTTGCATCATCTCAACTTGTCCTTTTGGCCCATAGCAGACGTAATCCACTTTAGTATCACCCAGTGTCATACATTCGGTAAGAAATATCCGACTACTTATCTGGCATTACCTCGCATCTTGGCACTGACTTCACGCAGATGTCTTTAAGTTGAACCAGAACCCAGTAGAGCAGATCTATCACCTGTGGATTTGCCTGACATGTGTTGGCATCACAGAGATACTGCTTCAACAGCAGCACCAAAGCTGGTATCCTGTCGACAACCTCACGCTGGATATAGGAAAGTGTGATTAAACAATAATTTTTATGTAAAATCTTAATTAATTTGTTGCAAGTTCTTCCTCAAACAACCGATAACTTGGGGAGGACCTGCTGGTGTAAGAATAAGACAGACTAAAGGCCAGCAGATGTTTTCATATGAGATTCCCTTCCCTCAACTCCAACAATGGGAAACTTTGTGAATACCAGGCTCGATGTCTCCTCTGCCAGCGAATCAGTAACATGCATTAGTGTTGGAGCTGACAGAAGTTCCTTAAATTCATTTCACAGAATGTTTTCATCTGCATTCAAGAACAAGGAAAAGATAATGGTATAGCAGGTTTCTGTACTGTAGTGTGGGAAACACCCTGCAATGTCTGTCTCATTACAATCAATATCATGGAAAGACTTTTATCTCAATTTCAAGGTTCATAAATATAAATTTTCACATACCAGAGCATCGATATCTTTAACGCCATCTCTGATGAACTGTGGTGGAAATGGTTTCAAACAAGAGTCATATCTGTAACTCTGACAAGCAGCAACAAACAAACTGAATTTAACATCAGCCGCTTGAGGATCTGCCTGTAGAAGATTTCGTAATGTAATGACTTTCTTATCCCTAACATTAGAAGACTCAGTTGTGACATTGATGCCATCAACTGCTTGATGGCTTGTTGTTGATGGATCTGTTAGTACTTTACTTCTATCTCCTTGCATTGCTTGAACAGTGTTTCCTGTAAGGAAATTAAAATTAGGAATAATAAAAATCAGCAACAAATTTGAAATATTATGAACACATGACACAAAAACCTTCATGACTACAGTACTCCGTATGCTAAAAATTGATATAGAACTATAAATTTTCTTACCGGTAAATGTAATACGGTGTATTCTATATAAAAATACTATTGGGTGTTTGTAGTAATTATCTTAGAAATATATTCTGAATATCATGTTGTACATTGTACAAATTGTATCTGCACTTTTAATTTGTAACAACAGCTAACACGGATAATAGTTAATACGACAAAATTTACAATCAATTTCTGCAATGGAAAGAAGTTAAATTTTGAGGCAAATAACATATATAATGCCAAAATTTGCACTCGAACTTATATTGTTGCTTATCTTTAATTAGTTTGACAGTTATATGCAGAGGTCACTAGAAACAGCACCACTGCGTGTTCTGGCCGATTATATTAAATGATGAAACTAGGTCATTTGTGCTACGGTGGGCTGTGTTACCAGGCGTAACCATACATGAGCGCTAGAAACCACTTGTAGTGAACAGTGTATGTGAAAAGCAGACAATATGGCATCTTGTCATGGGATAGTGTGATGTAGAATCAGGTGTTACTACATGCAGTGTCAAAGTCCATAGTCACAATTAAATCTAGATGCTCGCAGTTGTGCAGTGAATTACAGTGGGAGTTTCGAGAATAGTAATGGATGAACACGGTTTCATTCTTAGCGATGAGGATGAAGATTCCGAGAATGGATACCAAGTTCCAGAGATGCAAGGAGTCCTTAGTAAATGGACGAATTACATTCATGGCTGGCAGAGTCGATTCATTGTGTTGAAAGATGGAACGCTTTCATATTATAAGTCAGAGCAAGATACTGGCTTTGGCTGTAGAGGTGCAATCAGTTTATTTAAGGCTACTATAAAGGTACTTGTTATGTTTCGATTGGGTACGTTTGTAGCATAATCGATTTGCATATAACGTGAGTAACTGTATACATATCTCTTTCTTCCAGCCCCATGATTTTGATGAATGTAGATTTGATGTCTCTGTAAATGATTGTGTGTGGTACCTAAGAGCAGAGACCCCCGAGGAAAAGCAGCGATGGGTCGATATACTGGATGCATATAAGGTGAACCGAATTTTGTTTATTCAGTGATGTATTCGTACTGGAACAAGATGATGTGATGATGATTTGTTTGCATTTTCTTGATGTTGCAGACTGAATCGGGCTATGGAAGTGAAAACAACCTTAAGCGTCATGGTAGTGCCATTTCTCTTACATCAAATACTTTGTCGACCGCTTCCACATCAAGTTTCAAGAAAGGTAGAGGTGCGTTGGAGAATTTACTTGGCATTGAGTGACCCAATTAACAGTGTTAAGGATTATAGAACTGTTATGTTCATTGCTTCAGGTCTCAAGGAAAAGCTTGCAGAGATGGAAACATTCAGAGACATCTTGTGCCATCAGATTGAAACATTGCAGGGTTACTTTGATGCTTGTGCTGAGGCTTCATCTTCATTCAAGCTCAGTGCAGGTGAGTGGCTTCACGTAACTGCGTTGTTGATTCCAAATAAAGTGAATATTTGCTGTCTACTTAGAAATACTTAAGAATGCCGATATTGCACCAGAGTTATCAGGGTTATTTTGCAGTAATTGCTGTTGAGTCTGAGGGAGTGGCTTTTCTTGAGAACCTGACATGACACTGATGGGGTATGGCATGCCTTTGATTTGTGTTATGGTCTTAATCATGAGGATCTGGTGGTCTGGGTGTAGGGCACTTGCTTGTCATGCAGAAGGTCTTGAGTTTCAGACCAGCCAAAATTGTAAAAGGTTTCCGCAGTGTCCACATGCTTTCCTGTTCACGCACAGTGAGTAAAGTTAAAATTTTGAAAATGTTAGGAATATCAGGCCCCCACTTTTGTTTGACTGTAATGAACCTTTGGTATCCGTAGCAACAGGGAATTTGCTGAGGAGGTTTTTAACTATTAGTTATCTCAAGGGGGGGGACCGTATTGCATTAAATTGGCAGTATCGGCCATCTCCTGTCCATTTGTCACTACTGATGACGAAAACCGATAGTCACTGTGTTTTCTTCACAGGCTCACAAGATGAACGGAAAGGAGTGGCAACTGGTAGTTCTGAGCACAAGGACAAAGGTGAGTAATTGCTTTGTCTGATTGACTGATTAACAAATAGTTTATTTATTGACTAGGGACCGTGTAGCTCAGTCAGTATAGGTTTCTTTTCCCCGCATTGCATCCAGACTGGCGCTG